TACTAGAAGATAAATCAAAAGATTAGAAAGCTGTAAAGAATTTACAGATAAGCAATTAAAAGTAAGATTTATGTTCAATCTTTTAAAATCACTTGTGTTCTCTAGAATACATATTAAAATATAATTTGATTAAATATAATGTTTCTAATAGCAGGAAAATATAACGTGCTTAGGAAAAAATTCCATGGAATTTTTTGGATGGTCTTTCCAGAGTAAATGATAAAATATTGCAGAAGACATTAAAAAACACCCCAATAAAATATGAAAGATATCATATCAGCGGACAGGAAGGCTTAACATGAAAGCAATTATATACCCCCAAATAATCTATAATTTCAATGCAATTCTAACCCAAACTTTAACAGTAATTTCCCATGGAACCAATAAAATGAACCCATTTCGTCAAGTCAGTTCCAGCTCACAGCAACTCTATAAGACAGAGTAGAGCATTCCCATGGGATTTCCAAGGCTGTACAGTTTTATGCCTGCCACATCTTTCCCCTATGGGGTCAAACTACCAACTTTGGGGTTAGCAGCCTGTCGCTTTGGTCACTGTGCCACCAGCAAGCACCGTGAAACATACTTGACCCTGAAATTAATGTGGAAGGATCAAATGCAAAAAGTCAAGACCATGTTCTCACTCAGTGCCCTGAAGTCGATTCCCACTCATGGACTCTGTAGGACAAGGGAGAACGGCCCCTGTGCGTTTCCGAGACTGTAATTCTTTACAGGAGAAGAAAGCCCAGTCTTTCTCCTGCAGAGCAACTGGTGCTTTCGAACTCCTAACCTTGTGCCTGGCAGTCCAATGTGTAACCACGACCCAGAAATCAGGACTACAAGATAAAACTACAGCGATGAAGGCAAAGTGATATCAGCATAGCAATCAGCAAGACAAACACTGCTCCCATCCAGTTGGGGCTCCCTCTGACTCATGAGGACCTATGTGTGTCAGAGCAGACCGGGGCTCCATAGGGCTTTTAATGGATTACTTATCGGAAGTTGATTACTAAGTTTTCTTTCCAGGAGCCAGTGGGTGGATCTGAACTGCTAACCTTTCAGTTAGTAGTGGAACACAAACTCTGCAACCTCACCTGCCAACTGACCAACAAAACACAAGACAACATTAGATAAGACAAGTCTCGCCTTCACATTAAAGAATACCCACAGGTGGCAGCACCGTTTCTTATGGATTGTCTATGTACAACTGGGCATTTTCAGAACATTATAAGAGGAAGATTTGAAAGCAAATCAATAAGGAGTAGCTAAACATGCCCTGGGAAACTTCAACCCTATCCACAAACTTCGGGCTAGAGCTGAGTTTTCACCAGGGCAAACCACATGTCCTTACATAGGGTATCTAATGTCAAACTTCGAATATTCCAGCCCTCTCTCTGCAGGCCCGGAGAAGCTCAACCTTAGTTACATTTGCCTCCTCTGATAGTTTTCTGGCCTCAGTTTAAAGAATGGTGCCACTTTGTCCAGCCCCCTCACTCTACACAATCAACTGCTTCCTTCAGGAGCAATTGCAGTAGCCCCGAAGTCCCGGGTGCGTTAGTTCAAGAGTAAAAGCACTGCTCCCAGGTCTCTCTAACCATTAGACTTGGTTAAAATAAGGCTCAGACTCTTGTTTTCCACGTAGATGACACACCCTCTAGAGGGCACTGGATGATCCAGGGAGGCTGCACAAGCTGATACCCGCACTTTCTCCTGCATTATGAGCGACAGTAAACGTTTTAAATCAGGAAGGAGGGTGTTGAGTAATTTTTTTCTGAAAGGAGGGCAGTAGGCCTAGTAAGTTTGGGGACCTATGTTCCATCCTCTCAAAAAGTGTAATGCATT